ACGAAGTGCAAACCTTCGCACCAGTAATCATTTGTGCGCAGGAGGTACTTATGCTCACACAAATTTCAACTCAACTTTCAACCATACCAGGTTGAACCCGGGAGTTGCCACTCTGCCATCATTCGGCAGCCCGGATCATTGATTTGAAGTCCTGCAACGGCGAGTTCGCGGCTTCGGACTTGGAGACGGAGGTGGAAGTTGAGCGCCATGGGCTGAAGGAGGGCAATTTAGAGAGCACGGTCGACGGACTTGGGCGCACGCTGCGTCTGTCGCAGTGCCGTGCCATGGCACTCTACTAGCCCCTTTACGGATGCCGGCGTCGCAAGGGGAACAGAAGCCGTGCCTGATCAAGAAGTGGCTTGCGCACAGGTTGTTGTCGGCGACAGGGAAGAGGGTACCGCATAGCAGCAGCAGGACTCCAGGAGGACAGTGAGGCGTTGAGGAGGAGAAACAAAAGATGGTGTCATTGATGATCGCGCAGCTCGGCTATCATATTCCGATGTTGTGTTTTTCTATTGTTGTTCGCGCCGACACATTGCATGCAGGGAATCCTTACCCCTGGTTCAAGAAAAAATCGACGGCATCCCCCAAAAGAAGAGTTAAACTGAATGGCAGTGAGGCAAGCTTGAATGCACCGCATCGCCCCACGGGCTCACATCATGACAAAGCGACGACAGCTTCCGTTCCCGCCCCGACCAAGAATCGGCGAATCTTTGTATCGCGGTCCGACCGAGAATCGGCGGAGCCTGACTAAACACCTCACAATGGAGCCGCGTTCGGTAGGTATAAAATCAATGGACATAAAGGTTTTTTACAACAATCAAAACGACTCCCAGCCGCGAATTCTCCATGTCTGCGCAACTCTTCCAGCCCATCGTGGTCGGTCCCGTCTCGCTCAAGCACCGCATCGCGCGCGCCCCTCTCACTCGGCTGAGAGCTGATGAAACTTATGTCCCACTGCTTCCTTTGGTGAAGGATTACTACACCCAGCGCGGAAGCACCCCGGGAACGCTCCTCATTTCGGAGTCCGTTGCGATTGCTACCAAAGCCGGGGGACTCCCAAACATGCCCGGTATATCGACTCCCGAACAGGTGAAGGCGTGGACGGAGGTGAACCTTCATAAATCACCATCATTCGCTCGCATGTCTAACCTCCGATGCTTAGGTCGTCGACTCCGTTCACGCGCAGGGGTCTTTCATTTTCCTCCAGATAGGAGCGTTGGGGCGGATGTCAATCCCAGCGGTCTTGAAGGCCAACGATCCGACGTACCCCTGGATCTCCGCCTCTGATATTCCAGTCGAAACGGGAGGGGAGGAGAAGCCCCGGCCGCTCACAATTCCTGAGATTCAGGAATACGTGGAGCTGTATGCTCAAGCTGCAAAAAACGGCATGGCGGCCGGGTTCGATGGCATAGAGATCCACGGTTCGTTTTTCTGCCTCGTTGAACCCATCCATTCCTGTTGCATTCCTGATTACCTTACAAACTCAGGCGGAAACGGCTGTCTCGTGGATCAATTCCAGCAGGACGTTTCGAACAACCGGACAGATATGTACGGCGGTAGCGTGGAAAATCGCGCGCGCTTTACGCTAGAAGTCGTCAAAGTCGTCACTGACGCCGTTGGCGAGAGCAAGACTGCCATTCGATTTGGTCCTTGGAGTCCTTTTGGGGGTGCGATTTATCTATGGCGTTTCGATTGGATCCTTGCTAGAAAAAACTACAGGTATGGGCATGACCGATCCCGTTCCGACATTCAGTTACCTCGTGTCCGAACTGAAGCGCCTGTATCCCAACTTTGCCTATCTCCACCTCATCGAGCCTAGGATCTGCGCGGACTCCAGCGTCGAGACGTCGTCGGAAAACGCGACGCAGTCGAACGACTTCATCCGTGACATTTGGGGCGACCGTCCGTTGATCAGCGCGGGAGGGTTCAACCGCGAGTCGGCCATCAAGCTCGCGGAGCAGTGCACGAATTCCCTGGTCGCATTCGGTCGTCACTTCATTGCCAATGTAAGCAAAGTTGTGTTCGATCAACTCTGATTGATACTTTCCCAGCCCGACCTACCGCTGCGGCTAGAGACGAATATCCCCCTGCATCCCTACGACCGGCCCACATTCTATCTTCCAGGACAGGACGTTCCCACTGGGTATACCGACCAGCCGTTTGCGAATGAGTCGTAAGGGCGGACTCTTTTCAATATATAGACGCATGTGAATCGCATTTCTCATGTTATAGAGGCTTAGATAGTCCCTAGACTCCAGAAAATTCTTTCGTTGGTTCATAAAGGGGTTTACGCGCCTTTGAGTAAGTATGTTGGTTGCATCAACTCGAAGTTGGGTCTGTCGTTATATTCGTCCCTGATCATTTCATCGTGAAGCACATAGTGGAACAGGACTGATCTCACGACGTGTCTGTGGCAGACATTTTGCTCGATATTCCATTCATTGTAGCAAACACGAGGATAATTGTACAATGGTAGTACAGAGGGGAGATATAGGTACAGCGCAAGGATCATGTAAGTAGGTTGGAGTCTTTGCGACTACCACAACGGCTCATGGACGTGTGCGGTCTGCGTATAGCTCATGCGTCGGAAGCTGCGCAGGATGAGGACGTCCGGGGTGGGCTGTACGGACTCGTCGTCAAGGATGGAGGATGATGCGTGGAGCTGCGGCTGCACAACGGTAGCCGTGGGACGCGTTGGCGGGGTGTAATTGCAGAAAATGGGGGTGGGGGTGGGTGCGGTCCGTGTGGACTTTGACCGCTTCATAGCAGTGCGGATAGTCGAGATGAATGAGGGAGACATCTAGATTCGCGTCGGCGGTGAACTCTGTGCGCAGGCAAATAAACGATCTCACCTTAAGATTCAAGTTGGGGGTGAAGGTGGGTGATTTGGGAGATGGGGATGGCGCGTGGGTTGTTATTTGGGTGGGTGGGAGATCTCGAAAGTGGTTACGATAAGTTCGGTGGTAGGCGTTGAGCTGATGGTTTGTCCCAGAAAAGTACGGGCTTTTATACTAAAGAGGTTAGGGGATGTCTCACACCCTGAAGGCGGTGGTGAGTCGGGATGAGGATTTAGATCGTTGATCCGCAATGCTTCCGCAAATTCTTACCTTTGAATATCCTCACTTCCACAAAAGACGGGTCGGGTCCGAGTCGCTCCGCCAAATGATATTTTCCGTAGAGGCAGCCAGTCACCACGGCTTCGCGAGTGGGCCAACTGGCCATTGCGTCTCCTAGGTTCGTCTCTGCAGTAAGATAAGACCCACTGTGATGTCAGGAGAGTTTCGCCCCCGCGGCTCCTATTCGAAGTCATGTTGTATTTACATCCGCATGCGAGACTAGTACTTGAGTGAGAATCTGTGAGATTCCCAGAGATCATATCCGAGGGTGGCTGTTCCACGGCCATTTGTAGCGATTGTAAGGGAACAAGCAAAAATGCGCGCGGCCAGAATTGAGACTGAAAGGCGAACTGAAGGTCGCATATCGCCCATATGATTAAAGGTTTCAACTACAATTCAACCGTGCGAAGTTGAACTCGGCAAATGTGTTCGGCCATCAATCTGAGATTTCCGATCGTTGATCCTAAGTTTCCCAACCCGGTCGCAGATTCAGAGGCGAAGCCGGTGGTATTTGTTACAAATGCAGCAAAGCCCAAGCACGCATAAACGTATACCAGGTTAAGTTTCAATGTATCGAAGTCCTTGTAGATCAAGGTAGATCGCCCGAGCACACTTGGTGAGTCGCCTTTTGCTTTGGGAGGAGGTGGTTCGACTCCACCCTTGGGCATGTTGAAGCCCTGTAGAGTTTTTTTATCCACCTCGAAGAAAATCTAGGAAGGCCTTTATCATCCAAGAGTACTTGCGTACGCTGACAGACTTGGAATCCAGACGGGCAACTGACTTGGTTGTGTTTGTAATAGTGCACTGATTGAATTTGACTCCCACACCGCTCACTTGAACCGGCCGTTCAACTTCTGGGACGTACATAGTAGCTTCGACGCGTCTTTATTTTTTTTACCTCCCTCGAGAATTATGCACAATAATATTGCGACGAGTGTCGTTATCTGGGCAAAAAGTAGGGCAGGGTTAAAGCGGAAAGCCTCACATAGAATAGATACCAAGTCACCAAGTTAAGTTTTAGTATCAAAGTCCCTGTAGATCAAGGCAGATCAACCAAGCACACTTTGAGTGTTGACGGACCATCATTTGCGTTGGAAGGCGGCGGGTCGACTCCGCCTGGGGACTTGAGGCAGAGTCCCAGTCAATTTTTTTTTGGCCACCGGGTTTACTGCATTTTTGACGGTGCTCGGAGGTGAGCATTGATTCCAGGCTGAAATACATTATATTCTCGCTTTGCGACCGTTCAGTAAATTGGGAAACGGATTGTAAACGGGTGTAGGTTACATGCTGTAGTGGGGACGAGTCCGTTGCCGGACTAAGCGAATGGGCAAGTCCTTGTGGATCACGGTAGATCGCCCAACCTGAATCATCGGGATACTACACAGTATAGTACATGAGAGACGGCGGTTCGACTCCGCTCGGGGACATAGATGATGAGACGAGTATTTTTGGCGTGGATCGCGTACGGAGTCGAGCCGCCCCTGGCAAGACATTTACATAGTGTGGTACTACGGGATTTGGATGGAGAAGAATGATGCGTAAAATCAATAATTGAACCAATACATAGGTGAGTCTGAATCAGTTTTCAGGGTATCAAAGTCCCTGTAGATCGCGGCAGATCGCCCAAGCATACGTTATGCGACAGACTTTGGAACCATCGTAAATGGGAGGCGGCGGTTCGGCTCCGCCCGGGGACATAACATGCTACACTTCACGACCTTTTTTCTTTACCGAATTCGGGGGTGTAAGTAACCAGAGGTGGGCCCCGGGGGAGGCCAAACTTTGCTTTCCAGAGTGAACAAGAGTTGATTTGAACCGATAAAATCGTCCGAAGGCGAAGCTAAAGACGTAGATTGCCAGGCCCAACATAAAGCTTGAAAAGTCTTCGTGGATCATGGTAGATCGCCCAGCTACTGTACTTCGCTTCGAAGAACATTCTTGGGAGGTGGCGGTTCGACTCCGCCCGAGGACACTGTGATAGATATGTGGGAAAAGATCCTTTTTTGTAGGGCTCCCGCTGGATTTGCACCAGGCTGTCGAAGCGTTGGAGCTTGGCCAAGACAAAGAACTGGCAAGATGTTGATCTGACAGACGTGGAAGGAAATCGACCTTGAACGTCCTAAGATACAACTACATTATTGAAAAGTTGTACACTCCCCGAGTTAAACATTTTATTCTTATGCGAAAAACGTCCTCGTGGATCGCCAAGGCGCCGGTTCGATTCCGCTCGGGGACATGGGTTCTTAGAGAAGGTGATTTTTGTCAGGGGATCCGACTGTTGTTTTCCACATTAATATTGTCGTCATCGGTTCTTGGTCGGAGGCTCTCTGTCGACGTTGAAAGTGATTTGTTGAAGACATGTTCAACTTTGCTTGCCGCCCGATGCCGAGAAACGACCATCAACTTCACACGCGCGACACGTCAAGAGGGCCAATTGAGGCCAAACACCTTCTCTTCCGAACTTGAGTTCAACTTCAAGCTTCAAGTTCTTCCGCCGGACGTCCAAAGCGACGAAAGACCAGCCATGGACATCCCCTGGCAAACTCGGGATTGTCGAGATGCTGCACCAGCGCCCTGCGTCTAATACCGCCACCAATGCCACTCGGATTCAGACAAAAACGCAGCCAATGACAAGGAGGAAGAGGAAGGAAGAGGAAGGCTGAGGAGGTGCGCGGGATGAACAAGGGCAACATCAGCAGCAGCAGTCCCAGCAGGCGTTCGGCTGCCGCAGTTCCTCTTGTAGCCGTTGGCTATTGAGGACGGGTGGAGAAGGAGGAGGTGTGTGTATGTGTGCACTGTGCGCGCCTCCTTGTTTGACTTGGTTTCCTGGGCTGGGGTTTCTTGTCCTGCGCCCGAGCCCGGTATTTTCCTGTCGCGTGCGGTGGGTACTAGGTACTGGATTGTATACGCCGTCGACGTGTTGCGCTCAGGATCATCCTTTTTTTTCTTTGAGGGCATGGGGCGCCTTTTTGATTCGCTGGGAAGATGTTGTTCGTATGATATGGACGTTGGGGGTGCGGCGCGGCGCGTTTCGGGGTGGGGGCTTTTGCGTCTTGTCATTACCCAGCGTGCCGACCTCGCTGGCACCGTTGGTGGTGGGCGAGCGGGATGCCGAATGACGTTTGTCACCCTTCGCTTGTCTTCCTCTTCCTCCCCCTCTCTCCTTCTGTGCTAATCCTTCCCTCCTTCCACAGGAAGACACACCTCTCCCGCCCGCCGAGCTGGAAGCTGGAGCCGCAGGCCCAGACACAGACACAGACAGACGCAGAACGATGACGACGATTTGCATCTGCGTGCGGACGACGACGATAACGATGAGCAAATGCAGTAGGGCACCACCGAGAACGCAATGAGGTATGTATTGCGTTTCGAGTCATGTTTAGTGGTGCGGAGGCTAATTGGCTTCTGTGTAGCTGCAGATGAAGGATGTGCTGATTCACTCCCCCGAGAAACGAGGTCGCGGTGGGTAACTTCTTCTTTCTCTTTTCGATTCTTCGTTAAATACCCTTGTTGATAATCCGTTGTCCTCCCTCACTCTCTACCCTCACCTATCGCCGTCGCCCTGTCCTTTCACTTGAGTACTCATAATCTTCCTCGCTCGTTTCTTATTCCACGCACGACCCTATCCCCTGCACAGCCATCTTATCTACGCTACCCTACCTTGTAATCTGTCCCCATCCACCTCATCGCTCGCACATTTGTCTGCTACTCCCTTCGTCTGATGCACTCACCCACTCGCGTCCCTCTCACTCTACTTACTCTCTTCGTCCTTCCTTCCCTCGCCCTCACCCTCACCCTCGTTCGCTACCTCCCGCTTTTCGACCGACATCTTTTCCCATCGCTCCATCACTCAGCTCCCTCCCTCCGCCCACCATCTCTCTCCCTCCGTCTCCTTCGTCGAGCCTGTTGCACTTAACCTTCACCCTTCGCGCTTCACAAACTTCTCCTCTCCTTTGTTCCATTCCGCTTCGCTTCTTCCACCGCCTCCGCACCCATGCTCACTTTTGGTTCCATTACAGACACCCGCCTGCTCCCCTTCAAGTCCCCGGCCCTGCCGTTTGCGTGCCAGTGTCTCAGCCCAGAAACGACCGCGCAACCCAGGGCAAAAAACACGCTGGCCTCTCACTCTCTTGGGCTCGCCGCACGCAGCCTGGCTTCACGCGAGCGTAGAAGTACGTCCCTCTTTTTGTTCCTCACCTCGTTGCGGCGCGACTCTTACTCTTGCTGCAGGGGGACGCAAGGCGAGCTAGGGAAGGGGAAGGCGCAGCTCTATGAAGACTTAGACTTGACAGCGTACCGCACCAATGCGGCTCGGTGCTCTGGTCATTTCAAGTTGGATCTGTTCGCCATATTCGTTCTCCATTCCCTCTTCCAGTGCACTCGACTGTCTCGATAGCTTTCACTAATTGCGAGAATATATACGTTCCACTTTCTGCCTTTTCAATTCAATCTTGGGGAAGAAAATGAGTGAAACAACGTCAATTTCGTGTCGTGTTTATGGCAACGATTGTCTGTTCCATTCGCTGATTTACAAAACAGGAATATCGTTGTACAATAGTGGTACAGGACATACAGAGTTGATACCCAGATCCGAAAAGGACCGGGATGCGAAAAATCTCACGTTATAAGCGCAGCGTCGGTCCGATTGGACTCAATATATTTGAGCGTACTCTTATACATGTATTGAACCATCGTGCAGCGTAAAAATCCCCGATATGAATTGCCTACCGGCACAGAATATCTGAAAATGTGCCAAAAATGGAAATTTGCGGCTGTGCCAAAACGTCGCCGGCGGAGAATTGCTCTCGTGAGTCCGTACGACATTTCCTGGACCCAAGATTATACATGACATAGCTTTGGCAATGCCTCTACCCCCTGGAGCATTTAATTTGATCCGGGGATACAGTCGGGACATGTACACGCCCCGATTTTTCGCCGAAATAAGCTCCCAAAGTAATAAGGCTCATGCTCCACATTGACGTAGCCAAAAAGGCTGAAAATATTTACTTGTGGAGCTCGACATATCTTCCACTCCTTGAACAAGTTCCAAAGAGCTGCAGTCTTTAATGATAGCGGAAAGCTCTCGATAAGCATTTTTTTTTCGCTTCCGGGTTTCAACTCTGTATAGGATAGTGAGCTGGTCATATAAGCAGACTGGGGACAGGTATCGAGGGCCAGTCCTGCGAGGCACTGTAATTAATCTTTACGACTACCACAGCGGCTCGTGAACGTGCGCAGTCTGCGTGTAGCTCATGCGCCGGAAGCTGCGCAGAATGAGGGCGTCTGGAGAGGCTTGTGCGGATTCATCGTTAAGTGATGCGCGGAGTTGCGGCTGCACAACCGTAGCCGTGGGGCGCGTTGGCGGCGTATAGTTGCAGAAAATTGGGGTGGGGGTGGCTGCAGTCCGTGTGGACTCTGACCGCTTCATGGCGGTGCGGATGGTAGAAATGAATGTGGGAGACATCTAGATCTGGTGTTTGGGTCAGCGGTGAATGATACAGACAAAGAAGCGATCTCACCTTATTAGGGATGAAGGTGGGTGATGATAGATGGGGATGGGTGGGTTTTGGTTTGGGTGGGTTGGGGATCTCGAGAGTAGTTTACGGTAATTTCGGCGGTGCGCGTTGAACTGATGGTTTGTCCCAGAAAAGGACGGACCTTTATAGTGCAGAGCTTAGGGGATGTCTCACACCCTGAAGGCGGTGGGGAGGATCTAGATCGTCGATCCGCAGCGCTTCCGCGAAGTCTTACATGTGAGTATTTTCCTCGGTCTCACTTCCCCAGAAGACGAGTCGGGTCCGAGTAGTCCAAAGAATATTCTCATTCGAGGCAGGACGTTCACGACCACTTCTCGCCCGTCCACTGGGAGAAGACGAGCGTTGGGTTCATCAGCAGCGAAGAAAAGAACCATTGTGATATTAGGAGAAGTTAGCCCCTGCGGTACTAATCGCATTTACTAAGTTCCGCCCGGCGAGACTTGAGTTGAGTGAGATTGTCAGGAGATCGTATTCTGCCTGTTCACGGCGATTGAACAGAACAAGAGGAAGAGTACGTAATGGCAGGTGCTGACTGAAGGGCGAATGGAAGGTCGTATATCGCCCATAACATAAGCTTCAACCAATGATTCAACCGTGTGAAGTTGAACTCGGCTCGGCGATTGCCATCGGCCATCATTCGGGGATCCTGAATTATTGATCCGATGTTTTGCAAAGTCGTCGCGGATTCAGAGGTAAAGCCGGAGGTCGTGGGCGGGAGGAGCCCAGCTTAGAGGACACGACGGAGAAGTTTCAGGTTATCGAAGTCCCTGTAGATCACGGCAGATCGCCCAAGCACCCTTTCCATGAACCAGAAACCTGCCAAAAATTTTGCCAACGGTTTACTGCAATCTGAATGGGTGACGATGTGACCTCGGAGGTGGCTGAAATGCAATGTGTTTTCGGTTTGCGACCGTTCAGTAAATTGGGAAACGGATTGTAAACGGGTGTAGATTACATACTGTAGTGGGGACGAATTCGTTGCTGGCATAAGTGAATGAGCGAGTCCTTGTGGATCACGGTAGATCACCCAATCTGAATTCATATATGGTATACGGCGTCGAATACATGAGAGACGGCAGTTCGACTCCGCCCGGGGACATGAGGAGTTTGGCCAGTGTTTTTTTCGCGCGAACCTGCTTAGACTTCGCGGATCCAGAGTCGAAGGACCTCTGTAGAAAGAGATTTCTAATATACATGGCGGATTTAGATGGAGAAGACTGCGCTATGCAGACTGTAACAAAGCAATTTGCTACAGCGCGGATTGATCCAATACTTAGGTCAAATTTCAGGGTATCGGTGTGCCTGTAGATCACGGTGGATCGCCCAAGCACACGTTAAGCGACAGACTTTGGAACCATCATAAATGGGAGGTGGCGGTTCGATTCCGCCCGGGGACATAACATGGTACACTTCACGACCTTTTTTCTTTACCGAA